TAGTCAATCACCATCACCAGTCCATCACCCTCACCACCAGTCCATCACTGTCACCACCAGCCCATCACCCTCACCACCAGTCCATCACCCTCACCACCAGTCCATCACCCTCACCACCAGTCCATCACCCTCACCACCAGTCCATCACCCTCACCACCAGTCCATCACCCTCACCACCGGTTCATCACCCTCACCACCAGTCCATCACCCTCACCACTAGTCCATCACCCTCACCACCAGACCATCACCCTCACCACCAGTACATCACAAGCAAGAGAATTGTGGAAGGGAGTTCATCTGAGGGGACACAGATGGACTTCTGGAAACACAGACATTCACCCTCCCAACGAGTCCATCACCCTCACCGTCAGTACATCACCCTCACCGTCAGTCCATCTCCCTAACCACCAGACCATCACCCTCACCACCAGTCCATCACCAACAAGGGAAGTGTGGAAGGGAGTTCATCTGAGGGGACACAGATGGACATCTGGAAACATAGACCTTCACCCTCCCCACCAGTCCATCACCCTCACCACCAGTCCATCACCCTCTCCACCAGTCTATCACTCTCACCAGCAGTCCATCACCCTCACCACCAGTCCATCACCCTCACCCCCGGTTCATCACCCTCACCAGCAGTCTATCACCCTCACCACTAGTCCATTACCCTCACCACCAGTACATCACAATCAAGAGAAGTGTGGAAGGGAGTTCATCTGAGGGGACACAGATGGACTTCTGGAAACACAGACCTTCACCCTCCCGACCAGTCCATCACCCTCACCGTGAGTTCATCACCCTCACCGTGAGTCCATCACCCTCACCGTGAGTCCATCACCCTTACCACTAGTCAATCACCATCACCACCAGTCCATCACCCTCACCACCAGTCCATCACACCCTCACCACCAGTCCATCACCCTCACCACCAGTCCATAGCCCTCACCAGCAGTCCATCTCCCTCACCACCAGACCATCACCCTCACCACCAATCCATCACCAACAAGGGATGTGTGGAAAGGATTTCATCTGAGGGGACACAGATGGACTTCTGGAAACACATACCTTCACCATCCTGACCAGTCCATCACCCTCACCGTCAGTCCATCTCCCTGACCACCAGTCCTTCACCAACAACGGAAGTGTGGAAGGGAGTTCATCTGAGGGGACACAGATGGACTTCTGGAAACACATACCTTCACCCTCCCCACCAGTCCATCGCCCTCACCGTCAGTCCATCACCCTCACCGTCAGTCCATCTCCCTGACCACCAATCCATCACCAACAAGGCAAGTGTGGAAGGGAGTTCATCTGAGGGGACACAGATGGACTTCTGGAAACACATACCTTCACCGTCCCCACCAGTTCATCACCCTCACCGTCAGTCCATCACCCTCACCACAACACCATCACCAGCAAGGGAAGTAAGGGAGGCAGTTCATTTGAGGGGACACAGATGGACTTCTGGAAACACAGACCTTCACCCTCCCGACCAGTCCATCACCCTTACCGTCAGTCCATCACCCTCACCGTCAGTCCATCACCCTTACCACTAGTCAATCACCATCACCACCTGTCCATCACCCTCACCACCAGTCCATCACACTCACCGTCAGTCCATCACCCTCACCACCAGTCCATCACCCTCACCACCGGTTCATCACCTCACCAGCAGCCCCTCACCCTCACCACTAGACCATCACCCTCACCACCAGTACATCACAAGCAAGAGAAGTGTGGAAGGGAGTTCATCTGAGGGGACACAGATGGACTTCTGGAAACACAGACCTTCACCCTCCCGACCAGTCCATCATCCTCATCGTCAGTCCATCACCCTCACCGTCAGTCCATCACCCTCACCGTCAGTCCTTCCTCACCACTAGACCATCACCCTCATCACCAGTCCATCACCATCATGGGAAGTGTGGAAGGGAGTTCATCTGAGGGGACACAGATGGACTTCTGGAAACACAGACATTCACCCTCCCCACCAGTCCATCACCCTCACCGTCAGTCCATTACCCTCACCACCAGACTATCACCCTCACCATAACACCATCACCAGCAAGGGAAGTAAGGAAGGGAGTTCATCTGAGGGGGCACAGATGGACTTCTGGAAACACAGACCTTCACCCTCCCGACCAGTCCATCACCCTCACCGTCAGCCCATCACCCTCACCGTCAGTCCATCACCCTTACCACTAGTCAATCACCATCACCACGAGTCCATCACCCTCACCACAAGTCCATCACCCTCACCACCAGTCCATCACTCACCACCAGACCATCACCCTCACCACCAGTCCATCACCCTTACCACCTGTCCATCACCCGCATTCCCAGTCCATCACTCTCACCAACAGACCATCACACTCACCACCAGTCCTTCACCCTCCCCACCAGTCCATCACTCTCACCACTAGTCCATCACCCTCACCACCAGTTCATCACTCATACCACCAGTCCACCACCCTTACCACCAGTCCACCACCCCCAACGCCATTCCATCACCCGCACCACAAATCTATCACTCTCACGACGAGTCCACCCTCACCACAAGAGTCATCACCCTCACCACCAGTACATCACCCTCACCAGCAGTCCATCACCCTCCCTACCAGTCCATCACCCTCATCACCAGTCCATCACCCTCACCACTATTCCATCACTCTCACCACCAGATATTAACTATCTTCATTAGTCCATCACCTTTACGACGAGTCCACCACCGTCACCACCAGTCCATCACTCTCACCACCAGTCCGCCATACTCACCGCCAGTCCACCCTCACCACCATTCCATCATTCTCGCCACCAGTCAGTCTCCTTCACGAGTACATCACCGTCAGCACGAGTCCATCACCCTCACCACCAGCAAGGGGAAAGTGGAAGGGAGTTCATCTGAGGGGACACAGATGGACTTCTGGAAATAGTCCTTCACCCTCCCCACCAGTCCATCACCATGGTAGTCTGGCTAGACGAGTACCTCTTGTCTTGCTGGTCTACGTTTCGAGCGAGTCCAAGAAATTATAATTACATGGAGCAGATTTCTGTGAGTCCTCCCTTATAATTTTACCTTTCTGTATATACTGATATTAAACACTTGTGTTCTAATATCATATATGGACAGTGCTCCTTGGATTGGTCGCTCTTGAAAAGTTAATTTCCTCTCTTGAGGAAATGTTGAGTTTGGGGTTCACAGCTCTCAACGACCCCCTCAAATTTTCTCCGTTTACTGAAACATTTGTATAGCCGAGAGTGTGATGGATTGTGCAACATATTACACTAACTTTCAAAAATGATATTAAATAAAAAAAATATGTGCATACATTCTTTATTTATTTATTTATTTTATTTTATCTATTCAGTTATTGATACATCAGTTATTCACGTCTAGTTTGATTGACTTTGTGCAAACTTTCTGATTTGATGCTTTATAGTGGAAACTTTTGCTCTAAACAGCTTAGGCAGCGAATCCGTGAATATCTTAGGAGTAGACTAGACATCGTTCTTTTCTTAACTTATTTAGAGTGATTGTTGAGATAACTGACACAAGTTGATATGTCTGAATGCTTTATGTAAACAGTGAGCTCGTTCTTATTTTCTTACTACAGCTCCTTGTCTTTCGTACTGGTATTCATTGTTCTTCTGGCTAATGTTCTTCCTCAAGAATGCATGTCCTGTGCTTCTTTGCTTGTTCTTTCTTTGTTATCGTTTTCCAATGTATGTATATTTTTTCTATAACTTAGCTTCTCTTTCAGTTTTCTCCTTTATCCTAGTGTCCGAGGTGCCTTCTCCAGTGTATATTTTTTGTGTTTGATATCTTCTTAAGTGTATATTCCATTGTTTGTTCTTTCTTCCCTTGTTGTCTATTTATCGGTGTATGTTCTATTTCGGTGCCTTTGTTTCTTTATTAGTTTTTCTTCTCTGGGAGAACAATGTGTATTTTCTCTTTTATTTCCTGTCTTCTTCAGCGTATCTTCCTTTCGGTACCTGCGTATGGTGTTTCCTTCCTTCTTGTTTCTCCACTTACCTGCCTTATTATTTCACCTTTCTTTTTTTTTTCCTCTTCAGCTCATGGCCTGGAACGATATCGTGGAGTTCAACTCTTCTTCACGCTGAAGGACTGACCACTTCAAACAAAGTTGATGGCTGATGGACAGATTACGCTACCTTCACCTCGCCACTACTCCTGCTGCCTATAAAACACACCCCGTGTTTGACTGATAAAGCTTACCGCGTAAGCGTAACATTTCAAGAATAAAGATACCCAATTGTTACGCAACGTGTCTTACTTGTCGTGTTTTTATACTGTTTTCAACATACAAAGTATGTGTAGTCAGGACGGCAGGTGATAGGGTCGAGAGGTGTGATCCAGACCATATGAAGTCAGGAGGAAGATGTGTGCTAAGGAGCATGTGGGCCCTGTCTCCCGCCAGCTGGAAAGTTCCATGGTTCTGGGTGATGCTGATCCTAGTTTGAATTAGAAGTGATTGAAAATATTTTTTTTTATTTTTGAAGAAAATAAAAAAAAATATTTTAATTTTTTTCATATTTTTCATATTTTTTTCATATTTTTTATTTTTGAAGAAAATAAAAAAAAAATATTTTAATTTTTTCATATTTTTCATATTTTTTCAATTTTTTTATTTTGAAGAAAATAAAAAAAAATATTTTAATTTTTTTCATATTTTTCATATTTTTTTCATATTTTTTATTTTTGAAGAAAATAAAAAAAAAATGTTTTCACGGAAAAAATCGTTGTCGACTGGTAGTGGCTTATTCATCAGGAAACATGACAAGTGTCTCCTGTCATGGGTCTGTTAAACGATGACACGTAACTAGTTAACATCTGCTGTCTTTCCTGGGTTTTACACCTCGTGTAACAAACAAAGGATCACTGTTTACCAGTGTTCTAAGAGGGTTATACCCTCATAGGTATTTAGAATATAAGAAAAAGCTTTTATTTAATTTACAGTTTATTTTACAGCCTAAGAGCAGTTGTTATACCTCTGCTCATTTCAAAACCTAGGTCAATGTAAGCATCCTGGAATAAGGCTCACAACAGTCACCTAACATCAAGAGACCTCCTTATTGTTAGGTGAACAGCGGTTACGGATTAAGGAAATATGCCCAATTTTCCACACGTACCTGGATCGTATTCTTTATATGAGACTAAACGGTTGTATACGGTATCTCTTTATTTAATATTTGATTGTTCCAGGAAGTTAATAATACCATGAATGTCAAATAAAAATGTTGATTTTTGTAAGAGTTTAAATTCTATAAAAACTTAAAATCCACATACATTTCTTGTATTTCTAAATGGCTGAAATATATTTGAGGAAACTTATCAAAAGTAAATATATTTTTAGAAAAGTGAATTCAATACAATTTTTACATTAAGTTTTTGAGAAACTATGTGCCTCTTCAGAAGTATGTTGATACAGAGTAGTTTCAGCCATACCCACTGTACTGTCAGCAATACACACTGTAGTCTCAGTAGCTCATAATGTAATCTCAATATCATAGTGTATCCCAAAAAAGTACACAGTGTAGTCTCAGTGTAATCTGAGCAAGACAGTCACAGCAACTCAGTGTAGTCTCAGCAACATGCAGCGTAGTCTCAGCAACACAGTGGAGTCACAAGCCACAAAATGCAAACACTAGGACATTTTACTGGAGACGATAAGTTAGATTTCCAGTAAAATGACCTCGTGTTTATATTTTGTCTTTCCAACAACCTGTCGGTGTCACATTCCATTTTTACCAGTGTAGGCTCAGAGATTCAATGTAGTCTCAACAACATAGTGTAGTAAAAAACACACAGGCACAATACCGTGACTGAACCAATACACAAATAGGCCGCATATAGCAATGAGAAGCTTAAAACGACGTTTCGGTCCTACTTGAAGCATTTATTGTCACACTAACGCAAAAGTGAGAGAACTAGTATATACAGCAAAGGGCGACAGGGCCAGGACCAAGAGAGGAAGAAAAAGAAGTAGTCGTAAGGCAGGTAGTGGAAATAGTAGTAAAAATAGTAGTGGGAGTAGAATGCAGGGAGAGTAGTTACAGTGGCACAAGAGTTAGAAAAGGAGATAAAGTGTAAAGAGAGGCAATAGTAATGGTAGTAGCAATAGTAACAGAAATGGAGTGGTAGCCATAGAAACAGAAGTGTGATCAGTCTAATGGCAAGAAAAATGAGCACTGTGTAGTCTCAGGGACACAGTGTAGTTTCAGCAACACAGTGCAGTCGCAGCAACACTTTCTGTAGTCCCAGCATCACAGCTACAGTATAGGTTAAGTAACAAAGTGTTACTAGAGCGATACAGAGTAGTCTCAGCAAAACAGTGTAGTCAAAGTTCAGTAGCATAGTGTTACCTCGGCAACATACAATGTAGTTTAGCTTTCACGCGGTGTAATCTCAAAATGCCTTGTAATTTCAGCCACACACCGTGTAGTCTCAGTAACGCTCAGTGTAGTCTTAACAAAGCACCGAAATCTTCAAAACACAGAATGTATTCTCAACAGCAGACAGTGTACCCTAACAAACACAGTGACGTCATCTACGCACTCACAAACGGTGCAGTTTTGCAAACAGTGTCAGTCTCCTAAACACAAAGTATATGTTCAAGAATGCTCTTTCTAGTCTCAACACACATTGTAGTTTTAGCAACGCTATGTAATCTTACCACAACCTTATACTAAAGTGTAGTTATTAATAGTAATGTTAATAATCGTTTTGATAAACCGGATTTTTTGTGACCAAACAATTATGGAATTTTATGTAAACACGTTAAAAGAAATCTTCACCATAAGTTAAAAATAAATTTTAATGAGAACACCTCTATTACCAGGCAGCGTCTTGCCTGGTAATATTGTTAAAGTATTAAATCTGAAATTATTCAGACTTGGTGATATTTTTAACTTAATATATCAGAATTTGAGCAAAAATCTAAACACTAGGAATACTGAAATTTTCAATGACAGTAAAAGTGACATAGAATACAAATAGATTAAAAAAAACTGAGTTTTTTGCTGGAAGATCTTTGTGTTGCTGGATGATATTCATTATTGACTAGAATCTTTTATCTAATTAAGATGTTCACTTCTGATAATTCAAGTAAGTCTTCGGCAGAGTGAACTGATCTTGGCATCACTGGCAGACTGCGTACCAATACAGGAAGGTACTAGAAGAAGGTGCTTTATTGTTAGAGATGTGAGTTGCGTACTTTAACCAGCAGGAGCCTGAAATACCAAACAATATTCAATACAATGAGTAAAAATAACTGCACACGTTCTCATGATATTTGTTGTAAATTGTTGTTTGAATGTGATACCAATGTTCCCAAAACTATACGCAAAATGTAAATATATTAATTACAAAAATATCGACATTATTTTTGCTTTTTGGAAAATAAAAATAAATATGAGGCTTTCTCTAATAATTGTTAATGTGGTAAATATTGCATAAATTTGATTAAATAATAATATACTTTAGCAAACTCTAACAGTTTAAAATTATTAATTGAAATCACTAAAATTAATATCCACACTATACATAAATAACTCGAACGTAGAAGAGAGGAGCTTACGATTACGTTTCGGTCCAACTTTGACCATTTGCAAAGTCACACTAACGAAAAGGAAAGCAGGATGGGTATATTATAGGCAGGAGGTGGTGGTAGTAGTAGTAGTAGTAGTAGTAGTAGTAGTAGTAGTAGTAGTAGTAGTAGTAGTAGTAGTAGTAGTAGTAGTAGTAGTAGTAGTGGTAGTAGTGGTAGTAGTGGAGGGAAGGAAGTATTTATTAATTTGTTCCCCCCCCCCCCTCGATGTTCTTGCTCTTCCCCTCAGTGGGCGCCTAGCTCCCTTGTTCGCACCTAGCTCCCTTGTGGGTACCTAGCTCCCTTGTGGTCACCTAGCTCCCTTGTTCGCACCTAGCTCCCTTGTGGGTACCTAGCTTCCTTGTGGTCACCTAGCTCCCTTGTGAGCACTTAGCTCCCTTGTGGGCACCTAGCTCCCTTGTGGGCACCTAGCTCCCTTGTGGGTACCTAGCTCCCTTGTGGTCACCTAGCTCCCTTGTGAGCACTTAGCTCCCTTGTGGGCACCTAGCTCCCTTGTGGGCACCTAGCTCCCATGTGAGCACTTAGCTCCCTTGTGGGCACCTAGCTCCTTTGTGGTCACCTAGCTCCCTTGTGGGCACTTAGCTCCCTTGTGAGCACTTAGTTCCCTTGTGGTCACCTAGCTCCCTTGTGGGCACCTAGCTCCCTTGTGGGCACCTAGCTCCCTTGTGGTCACCTAGCTTCCTTGCAGTGCTCCTCTTTCTTATTATTTGTCTGGCCCCTCCTTCTCTTACTACCTCCCCACTAATACTTCCTTCCCTCCACTACTACTCCTACCACCTCCTGCCTATATATACCCATCCTGTAAATGGTCCAAGTCAGACCGAAACGTCGTCGTAAGCTCCTCTCTTCTATGTGCGGGTTATCTGTGTATCGTTCCATTCACGGTATTGTGCTTTTTTTTTTTTTTTTTTTTATCCACACTACTATTAAAACTTAAAAAATATGTATAAAAATGCAGATAATCTTTTTCAAATATGTTCACTTTTAATTTGGTTAGGCATATTTTACCAATTGTGAAGAAAGTTTATGGAATAGTTAGCTGATGTTTGATGCACAAGCCCATGATGTTTAAGGAACTTTAGTTAGAGCCAGATTCAGAAGTTGGGGTTAAACATAAAACATTAGTAGTGCACATTTAAACTGTCTGTAAGCACGAGAAGCAGATGAATGATAGAATTGATGAGAGGAAAAAGGTGAGCGGTGCACTTTGGAGTCTGTAAAGACAAAGAACTTTGTCCATGGAAGCGAAGAGGAAAATGTATGAGAGTATAGTTATGCCAACGCTCTTATATGGGTGTGAAACATGGGTAGTGAATGTTGCAACAAGGAGAAGGCTGGAGGCAGTGGAGATGTCATGTTTGAGGGCAATGTGTGGTGTGAATATAATGCAGAAAATTCATAGTTTGAAAATCAGGAGGAGGTATGGGATTACCAAAAGTATTATCCAAAGGGCTGAGGAGGAGTTGTTGAGGTGTTTCGGACGTGTAGAGAGGATGGAAAGAAACCGAATGACTTCGAGAGTGTATAAATCTGTGGAGGAAAGATGGTGGGAAAGATTGGAGGGAGGGATAAAGGAGGTTTTGTGTTCGAGGGCTTTGACTTCCAGCAAGCATGCGTGAGCGCATTAGATAGGAACGAATAGAGACAAATGGTTTTTAGGACTTGAACTGCTGTTGGTGTGTGAGCAACATAACATTTATGAAGGGATTCAGGGAAACTTAGAAAAGGCCCGGACAGGGAGAGTACCGGCGAATCAAGAAGAAGAGGAAGGGAAACCGGCAGGCCGGACTTAAGTCCTGGAAATGAGGAAGGGGTGTTAATGTTAGTTATATAAATGTCATGTAAGCGCCCCTCTGGCAAGACAGTGATGGAATGAACGTTGATGAAAGCTTTTTTTTCGTGCCACCCTGCCTTGGTGGAAGATGTTAATAAAAATTATATATATATATATATATAATTTATATATATTAACACACTGGCCGATTCCCACCAAGGCAAGGTGGTCAGAAAAAGAAAATCTTTCATCATCACTCCATCACTGTCTTGCCAGAGGGGTGCTTTACACTACAGTTATAAAACTGCAACATTAACACCCCTCCTTCAGAGTGCAGGCACTGTACTTCCCATCTCCAGGACTCAAGTCCGGCCTGCCGGTTTCCCTCAATCCCTTCATAATTGTTACTTTGCTCACACTCCAACAGCACGTCAAGTATTAAAAACCATTTGTCTCCATTCACTCCTATCAAATACGCTCACGCATGTTTGTTGGAAGTCCAAGCCCTTGCACGCAAAACCTCCTTTACCCCCTCCCTCCAACCTTTCCTAGGCCGACCCCTACCCCGTCTTCCCTCCACTACAGATTGATACACTCTTTAAGTCATTCTGTTTCGTTCCATTCTCTCTACATGTCCGAACCACCTCAACAACCCTTCCTCAGATCTCTGGACAACAGTTTTGGCAATCCCGCACCTCCTCCTAACTTCCAAACTACGAATTCTCTGCATTATATTCACACCACACATTGCTCTCAGACATGACAACATCTCGACTGCCTCCAGCCTTCTCCTCGCTGCAACATTCATCGCCCATATATTATAAAATATATATATATATATATATATATATATATATATATATATATATATATATATATATATATATTATATATATATATATATAATATATAATATATATATAATATATAGGTAGTAGGTTGGTAGACAGCAACCACCCAGGGAAGTACTACCGTCCTGCCAGATGACTGTGAAACAAAAACCTGTAACTGTTTTGCATGAGGGTAGGATTGCTGGTTTTTTTTTCTGTCTCATAAACACGCTAAGATAACAGGGATATTTGCTACTCCTACTTACACTTTGGTCACACTTCACAGACACGCACATGCATATATATATACATACATCTAGGTTTTTCTCCTTTTTCTAAATAGCTCTTGTTCTTTTTTATTTCTTCTATTGTCCATGGGGAAGTGGAAAAGAATCTTTCTCCGTATGCCATGCGTGTCGTATGAGGCGACTAAAATGCCGGGAGCAATGGGCTAGTAACCCCTTCTCCTGTATACAATTACTAAAAAAGAGAAGAAGAAAAACTTTATAAAACTGGGTTGCTTAAATGTGCGTGGATGTAGTGCGGATGACAAGAAACAGATGATTGCTGATGTTATGAATGAAAAAAAGTTGGATGTCCTGGCCCTAAGCGAAACAAAGCTGAAGGGGGTAGGAGAGTTTTTAGTGGGGGGAAATAAATGGGATTAAATCTGGAGTATCTGAGAGAGTTAGAGCAAAGGGGAAAGGGGGAGCAGTAATGTTAAATGATCAGTTATGGAAGGAGAAAAGAGAATATGAATGTGTAAATTCAAGAATTATGTGGATTAAAGTAAAGGTTGGATGCGAGAAGTGGGTCATAATAAGCGTGTATGCACCTGAGAAGAGAGGAATGCAGAGGAGAAGAGAGAGATTTTGGGGGATGTTAAGTGAATGTATAGGAGCCTTTGAACCAAGTGAGAGAGTAATTGTGGTAGGGGACTTGAATGCTAAAGTAGGAGAAACTTTTAGAGAGGGTGTGGTAGGGAAGTTTGGGGTGCCAGGTGTAAATGAAAATGGGAGCCCTTTGATTGAACTTTGTATAGAAAGGGTTTAGTTATAGGTAATACATATTTTAAGAAAAAGAGGATAAATAAGTATACACGATATATGTAGGGCGAAATGACAGTAGTTTGTTGGATTATGTATTGGTAGATAAAAGACTGTTGAGTAGACTTCAGGATGTACATGTTTATAGAGGGGCCACAGATATATCAGATCACTTTCTAGTTGTTTGCTACACTGAGAGTAAAAGGTAGATGGGATACAAGGAGAATAGAAGCATCAGGGAAGAGAGAGGTGAAGGTTTATAAACTAAAAGAGGAGGCAGTTAGGGTAAGATATAAACAGCTATTGGAGGATAGATGGGCTAATGGAGCATAGGCCAATGGGGTCGAAGAGGTAATGGGGTAGGTTTAAAAATGTAGTGTTAGAGTGTTCAGCAGAAGTTTGTGGTTACAGGAAAGTGGGTGCAGGAGGGAAGAGGAGCGATTGGTGGAATGATGATGTAAAGAGAGTAGTAAGGGAGAAAAAAGTTAGCATATGAGAAGTTTTTTACAAAGTAGAAGTGATGCAAGGAGGAAGGTATATGGAGAAAAAGAGGGGAAGTTAAGAGAGTGGTGTATAGCAATGTAAAAAGAGAGCAAATGAGAGAGTGGGTGAGAGTTATCAACAATTTTGTTGAAAATAAGAAAAGTTTTGGAGTGAGATTAACAAGTAAGAAAGCCTAGAGAACAAATGGATTTGTCAGTTAAAAATAGGAGAGGAGAGTTATTAAATGGAGAGTTAGAGGTATTGGGAAGATGGAAGGAATATTTGAGGAATTGTTAAATGTTGATGAAGATAGGAAAGCGTGATTTGCGTGTATAGGGCAAGGAGGAATAACATCTGTAGAGTGAGGAAGAGCCCAAATTGTGAGTTGGGGGAAGTTCGGGGCAGTAGGGAAAAAGAAAGGGGGAAGGCAGCCGGGGGGATTGATGGGATAAAGAAAAGAAATGTTAAAACAGGTGGGGAATAGTTTTGG